ATCTTACACACTGAGGCAATGCAGAGGAACTCTGCTGCCACCTAGTGACCAATGTCTGAAATATATCAAGGTTTAAAACTTGATCGCCTACCATCATTACTGTGGCTTTGACAGTTTAACGTTTTTGATAACTACGTCAGCGCCTTCATGTAAAACACATCTAAATTAATTTTTATTCCTCCCTTTAGAGGGAGAAAAACAACTTTTACAAACCTGCAGTTCATCCTGACTAAATGTTTCTATCTGCTATAAACACACAGAACCTGCCCCATTCTGATCATCAGCTATCATTCTTGCATATTTTGTCTCTGTAAAAACAACAACAACAACCAATCAAAAAAGGCTAATGTGTACAGCAACAACTAGTCAAAATCTGTGTGAGAGTGTGTGTGACTGGCATTCTGGGTATTCCCTTATGTAGTTTTGTTGGTATTGCTACGATAAGGTCTTTTGGTTGTAATGTGGTATCGAGGCTGTGATGCTGCTGCTAGTAGTGTGAACTTCATAATTCTTTTGTTAGGCCACCCACCCAGCTGCCACTGCTCTTAATTAATTTGTCTAAAAATGAAAGAGAAACCCTTCTGAAGTAAATATCAGACCAACATAATTTCATAAATATTTTTGTCCATAGTGATACTTAAGTGAAAATGTGATATATGACAGCATAACAAGCAACTGGAATTTGCCTACTTAGCCTGATGATTTGTATAAACAGAGCAGACTAAATAGGAATCAAACTCTTGGCCTGAATTATTTTTTTAGTGCCCATCTGCTGTCGACACTTACCGTAACGCTTGCAGGGATGTGTCTGAATAGAAATTTGCTGTCTATAAGGAGACAAATGCTACATTAGTAATTTCCACTTTTGGTGGTCATGGACAGTTCATGCAGAAGAAGTGAGCGTGATTCATCGAGCTATAGAATTCATTTAGGCTATTTGGCAATTAGACATCAGTGACCCATCATAGCAGAATGAGATCCCAGCAGTGGGAGGAGTGAGGATTACCCCCTGGAGTCTAGATGCTGGTGGTAGTGAAGATGA